TTATACCGAAAACATACTGATATCTGTATATATTATGAAATATATTTTTATAATCAATTAAGTTATTTGTATAAACTCAATAAATATGATAAAAATATAGTCGTTGATATATCTTTTAAGGTTTATATCAATAAAATATAACTGTATAGCGATGATTTTTATTGTAACTACAATTTTTTATTTAGATATAAGTTTACTATTTCTTTTTATGCTCTACTTGGATAAATAAGAATAAGATTAAATTATAATAAATTTCAAGCTTCATCAATGTACAAATAATTAGAAAATGAAAATAGTAATTGTTTCTTAACAAAGTTAAAATAATTCAAACCATAAGTACATAAATGAAATTACAAGAGAAATTATTTTATTTTATAACTTTCTCTCTTTCTAGATAATTTTATGAATATATAAATATATATGTTATTATTGCTGAATTTGCAAGATCAAAATCTCTCCTTCAAGATGTGAGTCTTGAGTCCTGGAATGTGAATATTTGAGATGTAATCCTTCCAATTTATGTTGCCAACATTGAACCCGAAATTCTTCTCTTCTTCCAATGACATCTCTTCCATCATCTTCCGCATATTACTACTATCAAACCTAACATCAATGATTTGTTTTTTTACCAACGATAATTAGTATGACATATTTTTAAACATTAAGTTGTATGGGTATAATTTATGATATATTCAAAAACGTTTCAACTCTAAAATATATAATTATATGTGTCACTGTGGTGTACGTATGCGTGTGTTTGGAATTTAATTAAAAAAAAAACTTACAATCCGTGGTCGAACATGTAGGGCTTGTACAAATTTGCCAATTGAATTAAGTATTCTACTTTTCTCTTGGCTTGTTTATGAAGTTTTTGATGCAGCTCTATATCTGGACTTGTTTTCAATTCCCTTGGTCTCATGACATTGTATATATAGGTCAAGTATTCATCCATGGACTTCAAAAATTCAAGTTTTTTTATCTCGGTTTTCATCAGTGGACAACCAATAAAGTGTTCATAACAAAACTTGAATATATCCCCCCACAACACTGGATTCATGTCCGACGATCCCATGTGGTACACGTTTACCTCTGGTTTTCTTGAAATTCCATTTTTTGCCATGGCTGCCAATGTCGCATTCACAACCATGTCGACAGGGATCTACAAGATTTTTTTTAAATATATTAAAGATGAAGAAAATTATGATATTGAAGAAGTAAATCAATATATTAAATAGAAAATAAATTAGATTCTTAAAAAAGAAATAAATTAGAACGTTAAAGAGAAGACAAATCAGGTTACATGGAAAAAATAAATCTTTTCTAGTTAATTGTCCATTTCCTTTCTTATTATAGAAAAAAAAAATATATATATATAGAATTATAATATTCAATGAAAGATACATCAATAAAAAATTATTTTTAATATGGTGTTAGAGATTTAGGTTAAAAAATTTTTAAACTCTTTTATAAATTCTATTCACATATTATAAAATGTCATTTCTAAACAGAAGATTTATTATAGGACACTACTATACCTTTTGTAATGACAATCTAATCACCTAGAGAAATAAAAAACAAAATGTAGTTGGTAGATCAAGTTTGTAATTAAAGTTTTAGACGATAATGCAAAAGGGTATGTGAAATATTATAGATAAAAGAAATTTTGGAAGATCTTAGAATCAAATAGGAAGATCCTCTATATCTATATTAGGATAATAAGTCGACCACAAGTATCGTTCATAATTCGATGCAACACGACTGAACCAAATATATTGAGATTAATAGACATTTTATTAAAAAAACATTGACAACGGCCTTAATATGTACATC